GCCTAGATCTCTTTTTTCTCACCCTGGATGTCTTATGCCTGCTTCATATCCATCATCTGGCACATAGTGAACCTTCAGTAAATAATGATTAGTAAGTAAACATATGAGTCTGTCCTTTTCCTTTAGAAGCTCAGACATGACAGGATCATAATGCAGATGAAAAAGGCAACAAGCCAGGATGACTTCTGTGAAGGCATGCACCCTGTTGTTGGTTCTGGGCAGGAGCATGCAGGCAGTGGGACACTGTGGGGATCGGACACATGCGGAAGGGAACATTCTTTTCAGCTGACCCTCTCTCCTTGGAGTCGAGATAAAGACAGGGCCTTATGTGGGAGGTCAAAAACATGAACGGAGACAAGATACCTGGAAAGATTGTGCTGTATTTTGGGTCCATCTTAGCTGAAGAGTAAAGTGTCATAGACTGGGATAGTGGGAAAGACGAGGTCTTTTGAGTCAGATAAAATCTTGTCATTTTGGGATAGCAAGTTAATATTTATGATCATCAGTTTCCTCACCCTCAAAGAGAAATGCTGGTTTCCTCTTTCGCTGTGTTACCCTAAAGCAGTACCAATCATCTGTACATCGCTGAGGACGGTGTACCCAGGTGGGAACTGTTCTAAGCACATCACCTGTCACCACTTCAGTTCCTGTGGAGAGGGCTCAGGGCCCCGCCCCTAATTCTGTGATGTGCAGCTTGCAGGGACAAATGAGAGAGCGTGAGGCAGCCCTGGGCTGGGACCGCGTCCTCAGATGAATGCTCTTCGTACCTTTCATCCCGCCCACTTTTTCTAGGTGGCTCCACCTGGAAAGGAAACAAGGCCAACTGCAGCAGTCCTTCCTCTCTCTGCTTGACTCGGTCAACGGCTTTGGGTATTTGAAGGTTTTGGAACTGGAAGCGATTGTTACTGGGCCCTGTAGCTTGGAATTTTTTTCTTTACTTTATTAATTTTTCAGGAGATGTGAATTTCAATTCCAGTCACACATCTGTCAGAACATTTTTCTTTTGAAGGAATTAGACATCTCTCAGTTGACTGGCATCTCGCAGTAGCATCTTTGAGATCTGCTTATTAAACACTGGGCCCATTTGCTTCACTCTTTCTCTGCAGCCACAGAGACTGCTGAGCCCAGAGTAGCTTCATTGCTCTGAGAAACGCTGACATACTGCTCCATCTGTTACTCAACCCATCTGCTCCACACTGGCACATTTTGTTGTTGTTGTTGTTGTCTCCTACCTATCAAAGGTAACTTAAAGCCCTTTTGAAACGCATCTGCTCTTTTTCTAGATGGTGTCAATTAGCACTGGCTTTTACTGCTAGAAGAATCTAGTGTCCTTCACAAAAGAGAATTGATTGGAAATCTCAAAATCTCTCACACCTCATCCCAATTGCTTTTATTTCAACCTTCTATCATTTCTACGTGTACAAACTGCTGACTAACCAATCCTAACGGGGTGCCGTGGTGCATGCCCATAATCCCAGCTCTGAGGAAGGCTGAGGCAGGCGGATGACAGGTTCCAGTTTCTCCTGGGCAACTTAGCAAAACCCCATCTCAAAGTAAAAAGGGCTGGGGATATAACTCAGGGGTGGAGTGCTCCTGGGTTTGATCCCTACCTAGTACTGTTAGAAAATATAATGGACCAAGAGAAATGTCATCATCCAGAAGCTAAATTTCTGCTTACACCTAAAGTACACTCAAAGCTAACATACTTGACTCCCAAATTGCCTTTTCAAAAAGAAGACTTAAATAAATTATTTGTTCTAATTATTCATTGTACTTTTAACCCAAGGATCTTAAACTCATGATAGAAACAAAAAAATTTTAAAAATATATTAAGCCTATAGAAAGTTGCAAGGCCGGGGCAGGGGATTTAGCTCAGTGGTTTTGCCGCCTGCTGTGCAAGCGCAAGGACCTGAGTTCGATCCCCCGTACCAAAAAAAAAAAAAGAAAAGAAAGTTGCAAGGCTGATGTAAAGTCATGAATGATTTTCTTTGGCAGTCTAAGGACAGAAATCATGATTTGAGGTTTACAGATCAAATCTCCCTTTCCCACATTTTAGAATGTTCCCAATATATTTACCAAGATTCTTTGAAGGTGGCGTGTGAGAAGAAATGCCCCGGCCTTATGCTCTCAGATCCTTGCGCCTACAGCCACAGACTCTGGCCCATTCTCAAGCAGAGCTCACTGAGCAGCTCCACTGTGCTAGCCATGGTGGCAGCCACAGGACCTCGGGTTTGTATCGGTCCCCACAACTGGTGGGCAGTGAGTTTGAAGGCACACGCTGGGGACTTGCCCAGAGCTGGTCTCTGTGCTCCTTGTCTCTCTCCATTGCCAGCTCCTGAGGTGAAGGCTGCGTCTGACTTGGGTCCCTGAGAGCATGGCCAGCAGCAGCAGCCCCCCACATGGCCTGCGGCTGTTTTTGGAAGGACTTTAAAGTCAAAGGATCAGTGTTTTGGTACAGTGTTTCTCAGAATAACCAGAGAAGAACCATGTGTTTTTTGACTTTCCAAACTCTCTCACATTGATTCCTTAATACAATTCAACAAATCACTGAGAAATAAGATGTAAAGACCAAACATAGAAATGCAAGCTCCAACTCCTTTTTATTGTTAGATGAAATAGATGTAAAACTTTTCTGTAAAACAGGTATAAAAATTTCTGAATGCAATTTTCTTAAACTCTGTGCTTCTCTTGCTGAGAACGGGTAAAAGAAAGCCTCTGAACCTCTGGACCCGAGAACTACACTTGGACGGCACCTTTCCATCACTTCGTCTGCCCCTAACTGAACCTGGTGAGCCTGCTTTAACTCCACTGAGGTCCACTTGGTCGTGTGTAGGTTGCAGAGGTGAACTTATTGCAACAGTGGCACCAAGATGTGCCCTACTGTGTTCTTGGTAAGTTTAATAGGCACCAACAGGGATGAACTAGGGTCAGGTTCAAGAGTTCCGCCTCACCCTCGGCTCACCGGAAACAGACTTACTAAATTCTCTACCTTGTTCTTCTGAGACCAAGCCCACTGTGTGCCAGAACCCTGACTGCTCACTCCACGGGGACCTGAAGCTCTTGATTCTAGCATAGCAGTTACCTCTGACTTCCCTGAAATGTTTCATATCTCCTTCCCTGATTTATAGCTGTTACGGTTTATCTGTGGCTGTCCTCAAAGCCTCATGCACCCAGAGAAGGGGCTTGTGGAAGGCACCTGGAATAGGGGAGCTGGCTTGCTCATTTCGTGTTAGGAGGTGGGGTCTGATGAGAGGAGTCACTGTGGAAAAGGCCTGGAAGACTCCAACTTCCTGCCCAGCTCCCCCTTCTCTCTGTGCTTCCTGAGCACCATGCCCTGAGCAGCTCTGCTGTGCCCAGGCCCTTCTGCCAGGCCATGCCTTCCTTCCCTGGAGCCGGGCACCCATGGGCTAAAAGCATGAGCCACAATAAACCTCTGCTCCTTCAAGGTGCAGGTGCCAGGCATTGTACCTAAGTGACTAAGACAAATAGATTAGTCTTGGCATTCAGTAACACATTCCATCTTTTACTTATCTTTTTTATAAAGTACCACCATTTTAAAATGTAAGGTCCACAAGGGCTAGAATATTCTTTTTGGTCACTACAACGAAAGACATTTAAAATTGTACTTGGCACATGGTAGACAATAAATATTTTATGAATAATGAATAAATGGATTTGAACTCATTTACATTCAGAATTTGGATTATTCCATTTCCCTTGAGTTTTGTGGAAATTCAATGGTTGAGTCATTTGTTCATAACTTTAAAGTCTTTTGACATGGCTATTTTTAATGCTAGGTGTACATATTTTTTCCCTTAAATATTTAAGGAGATTGTAATCCAAGCCAAATTCAAAGTTCCCTTTCAGAAGTGTAATTTAGAGGGTGAGATTATTCTTCAGAAGTAAAGTGCTTGCCTAGGATGTTTGGGGACCTGAGTTTGATCCTCAGCACTGCCAAAAAAAGTATAATTTGGACTCATTCACATATGAAAAAATGCACATTAAATTTATTTTTAGTGTAAAATTTATGGGTAAAGTGTTCAGGTAAATCATAAAGGATTAAGTGGGGTCTTTTCATACTTTCTAGCAAAAATTTTTACCTTTAGAGAAAAATGAGAAGGAAAAATTCCAGTCCAAAGGGTGTGTCTATTTTCTCTCAGGAAAGAAAAGCAAATACTGTACCTGTTTTGCGATACTTATTCAAATTCTTTCCCAGCCACAGTAGTAATGGCACACCGCAGTACTGTCAGCAATAAAACCAAACCAAATTTTATAATCCCACCTTTATAATATATTGGAAAAAACTCAAATATTTTTGTTCACATCAATCAGTCTTTGTTTTCTTTTTAGGAAATTCAAACACTGTTGCTAAATAACAATTTGCCTTAGGATGTTAGGCATCACAAAAAAAAAAAGGAATGCACATATATTTACACATATACAAAGTTTTAGATTTCATTTTTGGCCACACGACCCTTAATAATTTAAAAAAATATTTCTTACAGGTATTTTTTGTTCTTTCCTAATCCTGTCTCGGCCCGTCACCCTTTTCATGTTTTTCCTTCTTAATCAGATCCTTTCATTTTAGAATTCATAATTTTAATATGCTGTTTATGCTTATCTCATTTATTCCTATTTTAGGGTCTCAACGGTACAGCAGGGCCTAGGCAAGACCACATTCTCTCTCTCAGTGATCCTGCTTGAACTCGAGAAATGGAAAATTTTAGCCCTTGGTAAGAAATGGAAAGTATGGCTTTAGTCCTTTCTTCCACTTGCTTATCCCTCATCCCCGGTAAGACAGACTTGATTACTTGGTGACTTTGGGAGGAGATCTTTACAGTTGCTTGACATCTTCCTTCTCCTTCTTGCCTTGAGGAAACAGCAGTGTGCATTTCCCATAGTTTCCTCCACTGCTTTCTCCTGAGGGACTCTGGTTCAGGGTCTGAGATCAGCGCTTGCTTTCCTGAGCTGCTGAAGCCCCCAGCACTGGGCATTGTGGATATGTGTTTCTGCTCTGTAGCTCCAGCTATCTTTGGAAGAACAGGCTTGGTTTGTACATTGGGAGAAAGAAAAGTTTGAAAAAAGCCCAATTCTGGCTAGCTTAGTCTGCACTGTGCAGCCTGAAATTACTGCTGATGATAAAAGCTATGCTTGGACAAGGTCTGACTGTGGTTTTGTTGCAGAATTCCAGAGACAGGAGAGGCCAATGGGAACCAGGAGGGTTTATTTCAGGGTTTTGGTGAACACCGGCTCAATGGATCCTGTCCAAAGGAAGAGTGACAAACAGAGAGGATTCCAGTTTTTGTACATTTGGTGGAAAGGGGGAAGGGCTTTCCAGTGACATGAAACTGGAGGGGTGGGTTGGTCGTGTATCACGCAGCAACAACTTAGCCTTGAAAGAAGACAGAGCCTTGTGAGTCTTGTGAGAACAAAATGACTTTATCAGAACAAGGAGTTACAGCTACAGGGGACAGGAGGTGACCCAAGGAGGTGAGGGGCACTGCCCAAGTCTGGGAAGAACTTCTTTTCCTCAAGTCTGGCTTCAGTTTGACTAAACATGTGTAGAGAGTGCTGTGTGTCTTCCGATCGGTTCAGCGCAGGGAGGAGAACTTGGCATGGGATGACTGGCGGTTCTCAGGTCAGAGGATGGTAGGATTCAGGCGGATCTAGGAAGCAGGTGTTCCAGGTGCAGCCTGGCTGTTATGGGTGGAGCTTAGGATGCTGTGGAGCTTTGATGGAAAGAAATACTTGCTAAGGTAGGGCAGAAAGAAATGTGCTAGTTGATATGCTATGCAAGAAAGAACGATGGAAGGTGTTTGACTGACATGGAAGACCCTAAAGGAGAAAAAGGATATGAGTAGTGTGAAGGAAAGCCTGAGGGCTGAGAGGAGAATGAGGAGGTTTCAGGGAGGAAACACAGGAGGAAAATCAGAGCAGCTTGAGCGGGGCGTGGTGGCGCACGCCTGTGATCCCAACCCTGAGGAGGCTGAGGCAGGAGGATCACTGAGAGTTCAAGGCCAGCCTGGGCAATACAGTGAGTTCAGGGTCAGGCTGAACTACAGAGACCCTGCCTCAAACAACAAAAACAAAAACAGAACAATTAGAGCAGATCCGAGTCCAGTGAAGGGCAGTAGCAGGCTGAGCCGAAGCTACTGTCATAGAAAGGGATGGATTTTATTTAGGGTAAATGTATGTTAGGTACATATAATTAAGGCAAAGTCAACCGAACTTAGGTATTGATGGGTTTTAAAAGTTGAGAAAGTAGCAAAATATGATTTGTCAAATTACAGGAAGTGAGAGAATGACATTTTTCTTAATCAAGCAAAAAATATGTATTTATAGTTTTCTTTCTTTTTTTAGATGATGCTAAAGATTGAAACCAGGGCTTTCACACTGAGCTACAACCCCAGTCTATTCTTAAGTTTTTAATTTGGAGACAAGGTTCCATCAAGTTGCCCAGGCTGCACTCGAATTTGGGATCCTCCTGCCTCAGCCTCCCAGAGTGCTGGGATCACAGGTGTGGGCCACGACTCTGGTTCCTTTTTCTTTATTTTTCCCTCTCCATTCCTTTTCTTTCTTTTCTTCTTATTTCCTTCTTTTTCCCTTCCTTCCTCTATTCCTCCCTTCCTTCCTCCCTTCCTCTTTTCTTCCTTCCCTCCCTTTTTTCTCTTAGTTTTGCAGCAATCCAGCCTATGGAGCTGCTGCAGACATGCTTGTAGTTCTTTATCTCAGTTAATCTGCACAGTGCCCTATGAAAGAGGCAGATTACTCCATCGATCAATTAATTCATGGCTCAGAGAGCTGTGTGGCGTGTCCAGAGGCACCCACAGCAAGGGTGGGGAGACAGGTTGGAATCAGACCACTCTGATTCTGAAAATCATGTTCTTTACACTCACAGGGGAATCAGATTCTTACGAGAAGATGGTTTCTATGTGAAGTGCTGGTAAAACTGCAGAGAAATCCAACAGCCAGCCAGAAAAGTAGGATTGGGTGCTGAGAAGGAAGTGCAGGCTTGGGGGTCTTCTGTGGGGTGAGTGCAGTGGTCAGGAGCAAGCAGCAGTGAGCCAAGGACCGGAGCGGAGGACAGGCCCCAAGGAGATGCCACCCGGATGGGTCAGGGGCATGCGCACAAGTCTTCAGGGCCGTCCAGTGATTTTATCCACAAATTACTAAACAACTATGACCTAATATCGAACAGGATTACAATTATTATTTTTTACCCCAGACAAAACTTAACCTGTGATGAAAAAAATCTTACAGTAAATTCATAGTAAATTGATAGTAAATAGACCTGCACGTTGACAGAATTCTAAGAAGCTCATTCAGTTCTAAAACCTCATCACCACTTCAGGTACGGCTGAGTGTTGCAGTTTGGCAATTGTCATACTGGTGAGAGATTCATAAACTCAGTTTATTCCTTCATGAGTTAGTACATAATTATTTAACAACTATTATGCATTTGGCAACCTGTTCAAGACACGAACTCTACAAATTGTGGAAAGTAACATCGTAAAAGTACTATTAATGAACAATTCACAGACCCTTGCAAACCTTGAAAATGCAAAGATCACCAAGATGTACCTGGTCAGATGCTCGGCTGGCCGTGCTCCTCGGATGGAGTCCGTGACGGGAGCTTGGGGACATAAAACTGCATGCTAAGGGCTGGATTGTGTCCCCTCCCCCAAGCTGATGCCAAGGTTCTGACCTCTGCTGTGTAAGAACGAGGCTGTACTTGAAGGCAGTGTCTTCAAAGAGACACCTAAGTGTGGAAGGGGGCTGGTCCATCACAGCCTCTCTGATCACTCACATTAATTTTGATTAAACAGTGGGCCGAAGCCCTATTAATATTTAATGGTGAAATGCTTCTTCACTGTTGGTGCATAGACCAAGAAACAAAAGGCCATTTGGAAAGACCTTGGCTTTTCTCCTTTGATTTTTATAGCCATACCATATCTGGTGATATGCAAGGTTATGTAGAAATAATGAACATATAAAATGCAAATGGGCCAATTTTATTCTTTCACAAGAACTTGTAAAGATGCCTGAAAAGCACACAAAAATGTTCTTTTTAGTGTTTTTAGGAGGATAGCTTAAGGTTGTTTTCAAAGTTGCGAGATCCAAACGCAGAGGACTCCACTTCTTTACAAGTGGTTTGGTCCCGCGGGTGGTGTGGCTGTAATCCAGATAAGCCTCTTGGGAGGCACGGAGAAGCAATGCCGGTTTTTCTCTGTACTGAAAGGACCATAAAGAAGAAACAGATTGTACGTGCGGGTTGATAAATAGTTCCGCTCACCCAGCCAGAAGAACGAACCTTCTGCACATTGCATGCCTAACGACTTTTTTTTTTGAAGACAAAGCAGGGAGAGAAGTTGTGGTTTCTGTTATGATCTCTCACTCAGTGACATGGCAAGGGTGAAAAGGATATGTCAGAATGTAAAATGTGACATTGAAAGAGAAGAGTTTAGAAGATGATAAGGATGGAGCTTAATTTACTACTCCCTCATTTCCGTTTTAAAATGAAAAATTGAAAGTGGCCTCAAATTATTGGGAGCAAAACACTTTGGTGGTCTGGCTTAGGTGACACGTGAAAGGAAAACTGAACTAGAAATAAAAGCCAAGAAGAAAGTTTGCTTTGCTTGGGCTGGCTTTACACTTGACAGCTGAGTTTGGGAAGGCTGTGTTCACAGAAGTGCTCCCTGGAAGAGTGAGCAGTGCTCTCAGGACAGAAAGATTTGGAGGCACTAAAAGTGCACCTGGTCATGCATCCTCGGTGAGGAATGCTCTGAGAATGATGTTCACGAACACAGGGTCCTTCTCCCTCTCCTCTCCTTCCCGTTCTTCCTTGTCTTTTGTGGTGTGAATCACTTGTCAATAGAAGAACACATAGACCCATTTCTCACAGATGCGGCCTTTGGAACCCTGGGGAAGGGTCAGCATAGATACCTGTCTCTCCCTGATTTTTCAGGGTTGTCTGTTCCTGATTGAGCTAAATGATTTTTTTTTTTTTACTTTCTCACATAAGTGAAAACACCATTTCCTTACACATCAAAGCCCACTGGAATTGGGTCACTTCATAATTTATTTTATCAAAGAGATTTTAATTTTTCCCAGATTGTGAGAATTTCCAGATTATTCCAAATTTTATGGATCAAACTCTGCCCACAGTTATGCACACACAACTAATTCCACACACATAACTGAGGGAAGAGTTTGGCTTTTGGAGCTCAAAGGCTCTGAAGTTCTAACTTTTTTAAAGAACAGATTTTAATCTCTGAATTTTAAAAAATCTTTAAAATTATTGCCATCATTCTTCTAAAATTGCTTACAAGCACTGAATTAATTAATCAACGACACTCTGGTATAATTAATCTTTATTATCTTTTTTTTAATTAAATTCTTTTATTGGTACATTGTAGGTATGCAACAAACTTACATTTCTCATTGGGAATTGTACCTTTACATAATGCATCTTGGTTCTTATTTTTTGCCCATTCCTAGCCCTCCCTTCATGCCTCCTACCCTTCGCTATTTACAAAGACTTTATTTCCATTTTTTCCATTTCTCATCATTTTTCCTTTCCCTTCTTTCCTTTCCCCTGCCC